TCTTATTAAAGACAGTTTTATGTTTGTACTTCATATTTAAAAAAGGTAACTCTTTTAAGTCATGCTCTGCTTTCCCATCAAAACTACCATTCCTCAAAAACCTTGCTTATAGTGTTCCAACCAAATCTAATGTTACTTTTCAAACAAAATATCGATTCTACTCAATAAGGGTCTTTTAGTTACTTATATCAGATCATCAATGCACAGGCTTTTGAAGAAGAGCTCTTCACAACCTGGATAAGGGCCAAATCATTCTTTATGGGGGTATCATATATGCATATCTAAAAAAACAGGAATTAAAAAAACCCACTCAGACACCAAGCAAAAGTTCAAACACAACGTGACACGTACACTTTGCATTCATTGAAAACAAGTTTCTATGCTTTCATGAAAGAAGATACAACTGTTCTCACCTCGTTTCACACACTTCTCATAGAAACAGCCTTTTGTTTCACAGGACAATCTCTTTTTGTATCACGGAAGATTTTTGGTTGAACAAGAATAAAAGCTTCAGGCAAATTCTTTCCAACAAGCCACTTACCTGCTTCTATAACTGAAGAGTAACTGTCACAAAGTATATCCAATATTTATTCATTTCTCAAGTTTAATGTAAGGTTTGGGCAACCACATTCCACAACCATCTTTGTCATAAAGATGCTAGGCTTATCAAGGAGATTGACCAGCCTTGATGGAAGAACATGGCTGAGAAGCAGAATTATAGTGTCCCCTAAACTGGCCCCACACACAGGTACAGGTTTTGGTTTAAGTAAGATTTTTTTTTTTCAGTCTTTAAACACTTGAGAGCAGTTATAAAAAGGATGGTGTAGAGTAGACTATTCTTTGTGCCCTAGAGGACGGGAAAAGGAGCAAGGGTCTTAAATTACAGCCAAGGAAGTTTAGGCTGGATATTAAGAACTTTCTTACTAAGCAATTAGTTAAGAATTGGAACAACCTGCCTAGGGAAGTTGTAGAATCTCTCATCGTGGGAAGTTTTTTTACGAGCGGTTAGAGCAGACGAGCAGAGAAGGGATTACACTTTGATAACAGAACTGCCCCCTCAACAGCGAGGAATCCCACACACCAAGTGAAATCTTTGCATTCCAAGTATGCAATTATTGCTGAGCACAGAACTGCCGTGCCACTTTCCACGAGTCACAGCACCAAGTATTATCTAATTTGCTGGCCAAAGAAATTACTTGACTATGTACGGAAACATACCTAAAAAAACAAGTTTTCTTCCACCGGTTTTTATGTTATTGGCATAATTTGTAGTATAACTAGTTACCAACACATCATAACTTAGTAAAACTGAAAATAATTTGGTTCAGCCAAATGTGGTTCTGCCAACCAATTTAGCTATTTGGCACAGAGTTTAAGACTACATTTTACAGCTCTGAGAAAAAAAATTAAGATTAGAGACACAACTGCCCTGCTGCATAATAAGACAACAAGGAAAAAGCTCATTAAAACATCTAACAGGAGTAACAATACTGGGAAACAGTGCAGGGAGGGGAATCATTTAAATAGAATTGTATATGAAGGGCATAAGAAGTTAGCAAAATTCATTTCCACGCAAATAAAAGTATGAAACTTCCGGCCTTGTGTCACTTATTTCGTAACACGACAGCACTTGCATTCTCCAATATCTTTTATCCGAGATGTCAGAGTTTTACGAACACCTCCAATTTACCTCTAAGAACCGCAAGACGATCCCCAAGTTCAGAGATGAAAAAACTGAGGCATATAAATGTTTCTATCTGTAAGCTCAAAAGGGGTGTTTTTAAAGGATCTGAGCAACAAGTCATGTTATCCCCCAAATGACTAAAAATGTAGAGTACAGGGAGCCAAATGGCAGGGCTAAACCTCGGTATTTCCCTCTCAACACGAGCTCAGGGATGTTCATTTATACCTTACGGAAGTGGTTCTCAACCTTTTTTGGACCAGGACCCATTTGTAAACATCAAGCGGCCAGTCCTGACCCGGTGCCCCTCACTCCCGGCCCACTGTCTCCTGCCACCAGCCCCCCACTGCGTGGGGTAGGGGGTGGGTGTATGGGATGGAGGGGGAACTGCAAGAGAAAAGACACAGTTTCTCACATTTTTCCCATTGAAAGCAGAATCCATTTTTAAAGTTTGTTCACGACCCTGTCATATATTCTTGAGACCCACTTTTGGGTCGTGATCCATGGGTTGAGAAACGCTGCCTTAGAGGACACATTTAGGGGTCACAGACGTTACTGTCTTTTCCTCTGAACTGCTGGACATATTCTACTTGCCTTCCCAGGTTTGGAAAGAGTTACTTAAGTATGTCCATGTAACCATTAATCCCCAAAGACAGAAGGGATGAATAAAAGGAAGCTCTTGTAGCTGTACGTAAGCAGAGTCTCACTAAGAATATCCCCACAGGAGACCCACAATCTCAGAAACAGCAGAAGTGAGCAAATGGATGCTTCCCTTGAGATCAACTGTTTTAATAAGTTTCTTCAATTCACCTGTCTTTCCTGCAATGAAAAACCTGCAAAGGATAGTCTGCTTCTAATGAGACGGGAAATCCACCGGGATGGTGGTAACCAACTCTTCACAGAACTGTGGCTCTGGACCATCCTTATCGTCTTGCTGGTACAAGTCTGGATATGACCCATGAGAAAACATAAGGAAGCCACCCAGGAAGGGAGAGAGATGAAACCCCTCCTAAACGAAAGCTGCTACCAACACTCGTAGCACTCTTGTAAACTTCCCCAGTGCTGCTGCATAATGCCCTGCACATCACAGAAGGCATCCCTGGAAAAGGCATCCTTTATCAAAGTCACAAAATCCCTTTTGTTGATGACAGCCAGTGTGGATTTAAAGGTTTCCATTGTCACTTGGCGTGTGTGTGTGTGGGTGTGTGTGTGTGTGTGTGTGTGTGTATTGAAACACTTGGGAGTTAAAAATTGCTTTGCAGCCTTCAACATTTTGGTCTGAGGACTGGAGACAACATGGAACAAATGCCTTTTCACCTCTGTAGAGGCCAAAGCCTATCCTTTCCTCTATATGCAGAAAAACTAGGGCACTTGTATGCATGTCTGGTCTCGTTTTCCCCAGGGACAAATGCCTAGGCTGTGTAAAACTATTTTTTTTTTTTTAAGTTCAACGGGACTATCTTTGTAACACTGTCTGCCTATGTTAGACCCACTTGCGCTGGAGCACTAACAGTGTCAGCTGAGAATTGACTTTTTTTTTTGTATTTTTATTTCTGTTGGCCTAATGCCTCAATAGCTTTTGTGCCCAAAAGAGGGAGCTGAGGTAATGGTTGCTTCAACGTGCCTGCCTAAGAAGGGCCTGCACAGTGAGGAGTCCACCCTCTTAGGTAAGAATTAGAAACAAGTAACCTCCAGGGCTTGTCTCCGTAAGCAGGGAAAGCTGGCTCCCACGTGGTCTCGGGGCTGACCTAACCACAATGAGTCCACGCTCAGCCCCAGGACTGCACCAGAGAGTCAACAAGCACCCAGGGAACACCAAATGGGCGACCCCAGGCAGGTGCTCCTGGGGTCTCCGAGGTCTGATCCTGCTCAACTCACAATGGGAATTCCCAGGGTATGGAGGATGGAGCCCCTAAAGCCCCAGAAGTGGCTGCCAGGGGAGACCGGAGAGCATCAGCAATTGCAGGCTAACCACACTCTACTGCCAGAAACCTAACAGACATCTGCCGCCAGAAAATGGCACAAATTGATACCATGTGCATCACGGCCACAAATCTGGAGCTGCTGTGGTACAACACGGGAACTGAGTTCTGCTTTCTTGGCCTTTGTGTTGCCATAAAAGTATTTATGGTAGCACAAAAGCAACATGTTTCAAGCCAATATTCAAAACATTTCTGCTCAAAAAAGCCGGGTTTTTACTTTTTGGTTTTGCTTTTTATTACTCCCACAGACACACTTTTTTTGTGCTACACTAAGGATGCAAGGGGGCTTCTGCAAAGTCCTGTGTGCTCAAGGGAGATTCCATTTTCAGTTCGCTACATTTGTCAATTGCTATAAATTAATTTTCTTCTGCTCTAGGATACAAGGATGATCAAGGCACAACTTGCACCACACGGTTCTGTAACCGTGCACAGCTTAGCTCAAAATTTGGTTTTAATAAGACACAGATTTAAAGGTGTGTTAACCAACTTCACAAGAGCACTGCACTGTGCAAAGTTCCAGTGGAGAGAGAATGGAAGAGTGGGTGCTGACTTGCAGATGGCAAAATTTAGCCAGCCATACAGGGCCCCAGCAGAAGGAGAAAGGGAGCAAAAGTGAGTAAAAGGGAGTGGACAGAAGTGTTCTGATGGGAATAGAGCAACATCAATCATATCCCCCCCGACGTGGGATAATAGCTAGGACATTAATACTTATCAGAAGCACATAAACAACGCTCATTAGAAAATAAAGGTGTTTCAAAGCATTCAATAATCTTCAGTGGCTGACAAGGTGGCTATGATTTATAATGCAGCGTATACTGATGTATCACTTTTCATAATTAGGGAAAGTGAGAATGGTAAGGCTTATGGCACTCTTAATCACAGCCCTGAAAAAATACTGTAGCATTTGAGAAACACAGGGCACAGCAATAAAACAACAAATGCATAAGCAATGTATACTGTTCATTGGCAGCCTCAAATTTTATATGAATTATTTTAAGGGATCAGAATTTTTAAAAAAAGTCCTTCTTCCTTGTACAGATGTAGCACTGCTTTTGCCTAGAGTGCCTTACTGAGCATTATTAATGTTATTCACTTGGTGGGGGAGGGAATAGATGTTTAAAAGTAAAACGGGGGCAGGGGCATAAGTCAAGGATTCCTGGATAATTCCCTTGAATCTTTAACATGACAGAATTGCTTGTCTTCACCATTTTCTTACCCAAATATAAGACCAAGCTTAATTTACCAAGAAAGGCAGATGCATATCAACTGACCAGTGCAAGGGTCTAAATCTGGCACAGCAAGGCAATTTTGTAACACAAATCCCACCAACCCCTCACCTCAAGGGTGTTGCTAGCAGGAGCAAAATAACAATGATCATTTTGCTGGGTTCTTGAGGGCAGTACTTTGGAGTCATCTGCCCAAGCAGGATCCTCTAATGTTGACAGGGGAGAGTTTCCACAGTCCTGAGTAGAGAGAGGTAGTTAGCCAGGTTAGTCTGAAGTCAGACAGAAGGAAAGGAAGAAAAATATGGAGATGAGGAAGATGCTAAGCACAGGACAGACAGGATGAGCTCATGGCAGCAGATCACCGGTCAGGATTAAGCATGGGTCTTTGCTCCTCAGACTAAGAATGGAGTATGCTGAAAAGGCAGCATACTTGGCCCTCCATGGGCCTCACTACTCAACAGCAACTACGTAAGGCCCAGTATTATGGTCCCCACAGGAATGCCTGCCCAGCCTTCTTCAGCCAACAGCAACTGTCTCTTGCCTTGGCTGGGGAATAAAACTGGAACCTTAAAGAAATCCCACCACATGCCCCCTCCATCTCAAAAAAACAGAGGATTAAAAAGACTCAAATAAAAAGGGGAAGAATCAACTAGAAACAAATAATACAAACTCCAAAAGCATAACGGGGGAAGAGGGAAGCAGAAAGAGAAAGGATAATGATGAAATTAAAAGGAAAATTAGAGAGAGGAGCAAAGGCGATTTGTTTTAGGGACAGGGAACAAATGACAACGATGAAGTGCTGGTTGGTTCAGTTATTACAATCAGCCCTAAGAACCTGAGCCTGCAATGGTAACCAAAAGCAAACAGGAAATAATGCCCCATCACTACCCTGCTTTGTACTTTTCTAGTTTAAGGAAGAAACCTTCCACCTTCAACAAACAGAAAAAGAAAATAGGAACTGTCATACTGGATCAGACCAGTGATGCATCCAATTTGGCATCCTGTCTCCAAAAGTTGCTGATATCAGGAAATTCAGAGGAAAGTACAAGAAACCTCACCGTGAATGACCAGTCCATAGAGGAAGATCCTTCCTCGTTCCAAGGCGGCTTGTGATTATTTTATTTTCCTGAAACATGAGCATTCACATCCCTTATAAATATTAAATCCTGTAATGTAACTGCAAACATTACTCATATGCATGGCTAAAGGCATTTTTTTAAATGGCATTTTAAACAAATAAAAATACCTCTCTCTCTCGAATTCAAACGTTCAACACGACATTCTTACAAACGCTGTATTGGAGTTCTTCTCGAGCACATTCTACAAGATGCCATAACATTCATTTCTAAACCAGTGTTGTTGCCATAATATTCTCTCCCACAGTACACACAAATTTTTAAAAAAATCCACTGAATAACTACTACAGAGCATCTGTAAAGAATCAGCATGGTGCTTAGCTGAGAGACTGCCTCCAGTTTAAAAGATAATTTGTGGTAATTATCTTCTCAGGTTGATACTGGATAGTTAGATTAGATATATTAAATGAATCAAAGAGCAAGTCTACTGGCAAGGACCAAAAAGTCACTGGTCTTAAGGTCCCCCTGCAGTCAGCTCTGAGACAGCATCTTGGAGAACACAAAATATGAACCGACAGGTTCCTGCGCGCAAAGAAAAAAGCACAGTGGTGCTCACGTAACAAAAGCATGGTATCTGTGGGATATCAAGGCGTCTACTGAGCTGCAACAATAGCATTTATTACCCAGAATACATTATACTCACCATTAGAGGATACACAAACCTTAATGTTAAAATAAACCCCAGGAAGGCACGGCAACCCTGTGTTACAGCTACCATTAACTAACACTTATTGTTGCTTAAACATTACAACACAGGTGGTTCCTCTAGCAGACGATCCCAAAAATAACTGGCTAATGAAACCTTGCAGAGATGGTTCCTACTTTTCAGTAAAAAGAACCAAAGTATTTATAGCAGGTCACATGTTTAGCAAGTATAAATGAAGCAAATATTAACCAATGCTCTGAAGCAGGGCTGGCCAACTTCAGAGCAGCTGAGGGCTGCCCACCACATAGGCTGTGTGCTGCGCTGACCATGCAGGCTGCCTGAAACCCTGCCATGAGCAGTGTGAGCCCCTACAAACTTGCCATGCAAGCCCCCTGCTGCTACCTACCACCACGCAGGCAATCCACCCACAAGTATTGTGCGAGCCCCCTCCTTGCTTCCACAGTCCCCCCGCCCCACTTTGTCATCCCCACTGTTCCCACCAATGCACAGACAATCCTCACCCACTAATGCTGCATGAATACCATGAGCCTCCCACCCAAGCTTCTCCGATTGGCACTGCTGGGCAAGCAGCAAACTCACCCCACTGTGCTGCCAGCCTGAGCAATGGGAGCGGGAGTGGCCAGGTAGGAGCCCAAGTGCCACACATTAACCTAATGGGGCAGATTTGCCTGCAGGCCAACAGTTGGCCAGCTCTAATCTGAACCATACTGTTCCCCAACATTCAATGAGAAAAGGTTCATTTAAGTAGCAGCTTTTGCTTTTAGTGACTTTTCTCCTGCTAGGAATCTCCAGCTGAATACACTGTCCTGCTGAGCAGAAACACGTCCCTGCTCTTTTCAAGCATAGCCACTGCCTATCCTACCCTCTGAAACATATACTCCCTTTTGCTTTAATTACTACCAGATGCCAAAAGTGACAATATTTTGTACTCATATACACCTCTCTGTTGAATGTCCCAGAGGGCTTCACATAGATCAATTCAGCCTTGATCCCAATGAAGAAGGCAGGTAAAGATTTGCAGGACAAAAGTTGGTTGCTGTCTACAATACAGCGAGTCAATGGTAGAATGAAGAACAGATGCCAGAAGTCCTAATATGTAGGTCTCCTGAGCAACCCACTAGAAAATACCCCTTCCCAAAGAAACGATGACCATAACTGGCATCATTTTTCTACTCTATTTGCCTCTCTACTCCTCAACTACCCAGTGGGATTTAAAAAAAAAAATGTTAAAGACTAATAAATATTGCACTGTACACAGCAGCTGGCAACTTCTGCTGTTCTTCTGGATGATCATCACAGTAGTCTTCTTTAATATAGTTTCCTCCTGCTTTTAGCTAGCCTTTGAAAACATGGTGACTCTCCAGGAAGTTTCTTTGTCCTCCTCATGCACATCCCCAAATCATCCCCAGGTATAAACATTTGTATGGCCTTCCTTCCATGCGTCCCAGTAGGACCGAAATATTATTAATATAAAAAAGGGCATTGTTTCAGGCTGCCAGCCAAATGAACATTAGTGACCACCTAGACAGTACTTGGCATCTATACAGGGTTTCTATCCAAGGCTTTCAATGCACTTGACACACATATAGACCCAAAACTCTCCCGGGAAGGAGGTTAAGTATTATTTATACATAACAAAACTGGAGGCAGAGAAAAATGAAGCAAGTTGCCCAAGATTGCAAGGAAAAATAATATGGTAGTCAGGAAGAGAATCCAAGTGCCCCAGCTCCTAATTTTGTGCCCTTAGCACAAAACCACACCATGCGCTTTAACTTCTACTGCCGTTACTGTCACCTGCTTCTCCAGTGACTGCACTATCCATTCCAAGGACCTGCCAACACAAGAAAATAACACTAGAGGAACAACTCCTTTGCAGCAGTTGTGCTGGGCTATTATATTCTAGCTTCCCTGCATGGATATACTCCACACTGTGGAAGGAAATTAAACTAAACTGCTAAAAGGCACTGCTAGTATCGAATAAAAACATCCCAACAGGGTGCTAAAGCTGAATACTCACTGCATTTTAATTCAAACTCTACGGGGGGGTTTGCAGTAGCTTCCTGCTGGCAGACAAGCCTTAAGTTTCGATCATGTCAACTCTTTTCCAGTAACAAGCTCTTCTCTAAACCATCCCTCCTGCTCAAAGTACACCAAGGTCCTAAATCCTACTTGTGACATGACCATTACTACTTAAACCAGCAAATGCAGGTCCTCAAGAGTAACCTTCAAAAGCACTTGGCTTCAGCAGTTGGCTACTAGATGGTCAAGCTATCACAACACGGTTTTTTTCTCAATGCGCCATACACATGCATCATCCAGCTGATATTATGATAGGCTTGAAAGGAAAAATCTTTTCCCCATTTGAATGAATGAATCTCAGCAAAAAAGCTGGATTTCCCTGCAACAGCATATCAAAATATTACAACACTGCATTTTTATAGGATAAAGTCCCTAAAGGACAAAATCTTGGCCATCTGCCTGAATTTCCAAGGAACTGCCAACATGATAATTCAGTTACATTGTCCATGCTACTGTAAAACCGCATTAAATTCAAAATGTTTGAGCGCATCCAGCAATTAAAATTAATGTTCCTTGGAATGAGTGCTTCACTTTACAATCAAGATGAAAAAATTACTTCAGCAATGTTCCTCTCCTATTACAGTTAACATTTAATGGCATTTTATTGCCGTTAAACCCAATATTTGTGTCTAATCAATACCAAGCAACCAAGGGCAGTCTAACAAGTCTGGAATTTCTCTACAAGTCTCTATTGATTTCATTTTTGAGGCCTACAACAAAGAAATTGCACAAATAATTGATCAAGAAACCTATCACAGTAATTTAATAAACAAAGAAGGAATATGTAATCTCTTGTTTCTTAAGTGTAAGAAAATCATTTTAACTCCATTAATGGTAATTCACTTAAAAGCCAGATCTCTGAATTTCTGTGAAAGATGGATAAAATAACACTAAGAAGCAACTGATTTAAAAGCAAACATATTAACTCTCTTGGGCCCAACAAATAGATGACAGCTACATTTTCTCCCTTGTTGCATTTACCTCTACACTCTGGATTAGCACATCTAGGGTTTAAAAAGTGAATTCATAAAACTTTGTACTTATACACCATTCCTCATTTAAGCATTCGTAAGGCTTAGTCATTACTACTAAAGTCTGCAAGACTTCTCTCCCCTTTATACAGACAGGTAAACCAAGCAGTTAATTTCCTCCAAAGCATATAACCTGTCAACAAATGACTGAGGATACCTGATTTAAAGTCTCTAATTATTATATTTACATCAGCAGCCCTTTTTAATATCATCTTGATCCTATTCTAAGCAAAACTACTACCACCGACATACAACCTACCCACTCCGCCATATACACGTGTACATGCAAGAATGACAATTTGCAAGTGTCACTGAGCTAAACAG